CATCACGTGAAGAACTGTGCCCTACTCTGGGCGGGAGCACTAACACCAGAGGTGCAGGTTACGAGCTCACTAAGTCTCTAAATCACTAATAGATGTAAACATAAAGTCATACTCACCTGGCACTTACCTGTGCGTCCGCGGCACCAATACACATGCATATATATATATATATATATAACTAATAATGCATAACAAATGGCAATGTAATGCATGGCATACAACGAATAAACGATTCAAAATCAATTTCTGGGAAAAAGTATAAGTATATAGGTATATACGGAAAACCAAAAGCCCACTCACTGGTAAGTGGAAGGGTTGTAACCCCCCTGCCTCGAGTGACCACGCTCGTCCTCGGGATACGTCTGACCTATATGCGAAACAACTATAAAAACGTTAATTTTAAAGCACATAACCAACCTTTAGAAATAACTTCTCATACATTGCTCAAATGGGGTGTATGAATACACCAACGTGATCTACTCAACCTCAGGAACATCCCCATATTTTTAAAATAATTTTTCACCGTCACACGCGCCCCCACGCGCCGGCTACGCGCAGGCACATGCCTGGCACGCTGACGGCATCAACTGACGCCATCAGGAATATTCCGTTATCTATAACAGTTTCCGTCAACGGTGTCAGGAATATTCCGTCAGATTTGACGGAATATTCTGTCGTCTTCTCCGACTAGCCTCCGGCGCCGTCGCCAGCGCCAGAAAATCAGGAAAATTTCAAACCTTTGTAACTTCTTCGTTTCTCACCCAAATTTCACAAAATTGGTACCAAAATGAAGTTTACAATGAGAAGAACACAATCATACCACTTTCAAGTGCTAAAATCCACAAAATCTCCCCTGAAAAATCACCCCAACTCCGGCCAACCTCGAAACTCGTGATCCCGACGTCTAAAACCTTCAAACGAACCACCCCGAGCCTCCTAGGGACCTCACCAAACTCCCTACAAGCTTGAAATTCCCTAAAAAGTGAGAAATCACGTGTGCATGAACAGTAACTCAAATCGGACATCACGAGTTCAACGTGAAAACGAAGGTAACCTTACCTGAAATAGGTATAGTTGGACTCCCACGAGCCTCACGAGCATGGATATGTATTTTGTTCCTTCGATCTGTGGAGATTTGGGTGGTTTTGGAGTGTGTCCGTACGTTATAAGGAAAATGGGAAGGGAAAGGGACTCAGGACAGGGTGCAGGGATAGGGGGAAAGGGTGTGGGGGATTTGGGAGTGTGTGTGTGGTCCACAACTGGCCACACCAATCAAAAGAACAACCACACAACGAAAAATCTAGCTAGGGGCAAAATCATCTTTTCACGCGTACGTTTTTAAAATTCTCGGGATGGGCTGTCACAAAAACAATGAAAAATATAAGGTCTTACCTCATGTGAAGCTTTCAAAACACCGATTTTGTATTCTATTCGTCAAAAATAATTGTTCTCAATCAACATGTTTGTAGTTTCATTGGTTAGGGTTTTATTCACTAATGGAGGGTGGAAAAAGATAAGTAATACATTAAAAGTGATTTCAGGTGTATTTAGAAAATTTTTGTTTTTTTTAAACCTAATAAGGTCAAAATTGTCATTGCATAGTAGGATAAATAAGTCATTAATTTTAAATTTTAATGAGAGGTGCATTCAACATTTTGTGGGTGTTAATATAAAAAGCTTTTTTTTTTCAGGATTTTTTTTTTCTTATTTTGTTTTTTCTTTTTGGGGTGGGTGGGTGGTGGGGAGGGCGGCCGGGGGGGACGGCGGGGTGTTTTTTGTTTAGATTATTCTTTGCTTTCTTTTTTGAATTCGAAGAAAATGGATACATCCGATGATTTATAACCTGCACATGAAAAACATATCTCAATTTTCAAACACAGAGTGTGGATTACATCTACAAAAAAGATGTATTGACATAAAAACCTATTGGTAAGGTTGATTAACATGTGTGATAACAGGTAATGTTATTCACTCACTCATTTTTACTTATCACACATCTTTTAATTTTTGGTCGTCAGATCGAATGAATTGAAGAAGAATCAATGTTAAAAAATTAATAAGAGTGTTTAAATAGCAATCTCTACCTGTAGAATTATCAGAAAGACGGGCCAAAGACCCTCTTCCAACAACATCGATATTGTCCCCAACTTGGTAATTATCACCTACACAATCCGTTAGGTGTGGGGCTTTATCACAAAAGGCATTGGTATTAATTGGATGGGGTTAGAATGTTTAAACTATTATTTCTCTTTTTCTATGGCCAATGTGGGACTCAATATGCCCCCTCACATGGGACTCAATTAATGGGTCACATGTGGGAAATCCACACATCGACAACCACGTGAAGCCAATGAGACACCCTACACGCGAGGCCTAGAGACACACCATCATAGAGCGAGGCCAAAAGGACCCATCCATCACGTGGTAGTACAGTACAGACCTGCTCTTTGACTCTAATACCATATAGAATTACACGGTTGAATTTGTATTGTATTTCATAATTAAGAATATATACACATACAATCCTTGTCCAATAAGGAAACAATAAAGGACATAAAACAATCCTTCCTAATAAAGGACATCTAATATTTACATACTCCTTTTAGATTGACTCACATCAATAAATAGAATTATACGGCTTAATTTATATTGTATTTCATAATTAGGAATACACACACACATACACAATCCTTGTCTAGTAAGGAAACAATAAAGAACATAAAACAATCCTTCCTAATAAAGGATACCTAATATTTACACAATATTTGCATACTCCTTTTAGATTGACTCATGTCAATACTCCCCCTCAAGTTGGTGCATAGATATCACACATGCCCAACTTGATAAGTGAGTCACGAAATCTTCTACTACACACGGCATGAGTAAGAGCATCTGCAAGTTGTTCTTCTGAATGTACAAACAGTATAGCCACAATTTTCCTCTCAAGCTTCTCTTTAATAAAATGTCGATCAACCTCCACATGTTTTGTCCTGTCATGCTGTAGTAGATTCTCTGATATATCCCTTGCTAACATGTTATCACAATACAATGTCATAGCCTCCATTTGCTTGAAACTAAGACACCAAAGGAGCTTCCGTAACCAAAGAATCTCGCAAATCCCTTGAAACATGCCTCTATATTCAGCTTCAGCTGAAGACCGTAACACCACTTTCTATTTCTTGCTTCGCCATGTAACCAAATTCCTTCCAATAAAAGTAAAATACCCGAAAGTAGGATGCTTATCAATTACATCACCAGCCTAATCTGCATTAGTAAATCCCTTAATCCACATACGCCCGTGGTTCTCATACAAAATTCCTTTCCCTAGAGCAAATTTCAAATATGCTAAAATACGCATAACCACATCCATTGAAGTTCCAACCTGATTGGAGGAAGCTCTAAAGGATCCAAAGTGGGCAAAAGCGATGGATGAAGAAACGTTGGCATTGCATAAAAATAATACTTGGAAAATAATGGAGTTGCCCAAGGGTAAAAAAACTTTTTGGATGTCGATGGGAATTTACAATTAAATATAAGGCCGACGGATCGATTCCCCCAATTTAGATATGCAAAATTGTTTTTCTTTATTGGGACAGGAATGAGAATATTAAAAGGGTAATGCTAGGGAAACCAAATTTGCAAACAAAATGATGTGGTTGTAAATGATTGGATTATTAATTAAGTGTCGATTAATATATTTTTTTCTTATTAGTGACACATCATTTGGTTTATCAATTTGGTTTAAATATTTGATCTCCGTAGCATTTCCCTAAAAACGAAAAGTCATAAAAAGGAGGTCCCTAACATTATCTTACTAAAAAAGAGTAAATGTATGAAGACCAAATTTTGAAATCAAATTTAAAATTAAATAATATGTCATTAATAGAAAATAAACACGTTAATTAACAGTTGAGTAATAATTCAACCATCCACAACCATATCATTTGACTTACAAGTTTAATTTCAAATTTTAATCTCTCTAATATTATCTTATTAAAAAAACTATGAAAAAAAAAATTAGTTTTTTATTTTAAGGGAAACTTGATATAGTCCAATTTTTTTAGCCAATATTAGGAATAATCCAATTTATTAAAATAAGTCTAATTCCTTAAATCTTATTGTTTTATTATCAATAATTATCTCTTAAATGATAAGCTTTGTTATAAAAATCAAATTTCTTCCTAATTATCTCTTTGATTATTTTTTTTTTTTTGTTCTTTCTTGTTCTTTATCCCGTTTTAAACCCTGTTTATAGATTTTATTTTTTATTTTTATAATCAACATATATCACAAGTTAATTATATTTATCTACCTATATGATAGATTCTTTTTTATAATCAAGTAAGATTCATGTGTCTTGCTTGGAGATATATTATGTTTTTTTTCCTATCTTTTAGTTAAGTTTCATATCTTACTTATAGATATGATATACATTCATATATTTGTTACTTGAGTTAGGGTAGAATGATTTGCAAATAGATTTATGTCAATATATCATTATTTTTTTTGTTATAAGATATTAATTATATTTTTTGGGGTTGAAAATTTATAATATTAGAAGATTTTAATTGATTTTTAATATTTTTAGAAAATATAAAATGAGCATTAAAAAAATAAATACATATAATTAGGTAATTAAACTCATTTTCAAAAATAATCTATGTTTTTGAACCTGAATAGTTGAACCGTTAAAAAATTAAAAAAAAATTAAAAATAAACCCACGACATCCGTTATTCCAGAGTTTCTTAAAAAACTGTCTTGTCGTCCACCAACTCCTCCATACGTACAAATGACGCAACAAATGGTCACAGAACATTTTTGCACCAAAAGAAAAGGTCACAAAGATTTCAATCATGGGACCCATTATTAAGAGGATATGTGGCTCTGGTGTATTATTAAATTATTTGTACCAAAGGGCGGGAGGTTCACCTACCACAAGATGGCTTTGTTTCTCCTTCCTGTATATTTATTTATATGCTTCATTTGCGTTTCTGATTCCCCAAAAGCCAAAGCCCACTTTATCAATACACTCAGTCTCTCTCTCTCTCTCTCTCTCGCTCTCTCTCTATCCCCTTCTCTCAAAGCCAAAACTCACTTTTCCAATACACTCACTCTCTCTCTCTCTCTCTCCTTCTCTCTCCTTCTCTCCCCGAAACACATTCGGAAGTAAAAATGGGCAGCCTTGAAGCGGAGAGAACGACTAGAGGATGGGCAGCAAGAGACTCATCTGGAATTCTCTCACCCTACACCTACAATCTCAGGTAAACCAAAACCTTTTATCTCGAATATTTTGATCGTGTTCTAAACTTATTCACCAAATGATCTAAGTCAGAAATATTGTTACCTCATTTGGTAAATAAATTAGGCTTAGTGCAACGGTCCTATATTTTATATGTGATGATTCCTTTGTCTAGTGATTTTTCAATCCAACATTTAAAAATTAAAAATTGCAGGAACACAGGGCCAGAAGATGTTTACGTCAAGGTTCTCTGCTGTGGAGTTTGCCACTCGGATCTTCACCAGATCAAAAATGACCTTGGCATGTCAAATTATCCCATGGTTCCCGGGTATATATAATAAATAAATAAGATTTCCATATCTTACCCGCCAATTATTTTCTTAATTTCATTTCCTTATATCTTTGTAATTAATATTTTACAAAATCTGCAATATGAACCAGGCATGAGGTGGTTGGTGAGGTGGTGGAGGTGGGATCAGATGTGACCAAGTTCAGAGCAGGAGATGTGGTTGGAGTTGGCCTCCTCGTTGGATGCTGCAGAAACTGCTACCCGTGCAAAACGGACAACGAGCAGTACTGCAACAAGAAAATCTGGTCTTACAATGATACTTACACCGACGGCAAAACCACCCAAGGCGGCTTTGCTGGGGCCCTCGTCGCTGATCAAAAGTAATCACCAAACCCTAAATAACTTTTCTCGCATAAAATTCACCAACACAAAACTTTGTTCACTTTCTTGGCCAAATCTTATTCAACAACTGTGATTAATCATACATGAGATTTGACCTCAGAACTTCATCCGACAAAATGAAGATTAGATATCGCCATACAACCATATATATGGTCATTTGTGGTTTTAGATTACCTGGTAAATCAACGGTTTTTACTGACTTTTATTTGTTCGGTTAAGATTTGTGGTGAAGATACCGGAGGGCATGGTACCCGAACAGGCAGCGCCGCTGCTGTGCGCCGGGGTGACGGTGTACAGCCCGCTGAAGCACTTTGGCCTGAATGTGAGTGGGTTAAGAGGAGGAATATTGGGGCTTGGAGGTGTGGGACACATGGGGGTGAAGATAGCAAAGGCCATGGGGCACCATGTGACTGTGATAAGCTCATCGGATAGGAAAAGAGAGGAGGCTTTGGAGCATATTGGGGCTGATGAGTTCTTGGTTAGCACTGATGGCACCAAAATGCAAGAAGCTGCTGACTCATTGGACTACATCATTGACACAGTTCCTGTGGGCCACCCACTTGAGCCTTACCTCTCTTTGTTGAAGCTTGATGGGAAATTGATCTTGATGGGTGTAATTAACACCCCATTACAATTTGTCTCCCCAATGGTCATGCTTGGTAATTCCACTCCACTCACTTCCATCAATATCGAATCTCCTTAAATCTGTCTGTTGATTTTCCTCTCAATTATTCAATTTAATGGCTCGAAAGAATAACGAAGCACAAAAAGCACTCCCCTTTGAAATTTGCGCTGAAATAATCTTTTACTGTGTTAGTGGATTGGTTAGAAGAAGCTTGTATTATTGTTTCTGATCATGTTGGTTACTTAATTTTGTAGGGAGAAAGACAATCACAGGGAGCTTCGTGGGGAGCATGAAGGAAACTGAGGAGATGCTTGAGTTTTGCAAAGAGAAAGGATTAACATCAATGATTGAAGTGGTTAAGATGGATTACATCAACACAGCCTTTGAGAGGTTGGAGAAGAACGATGTTAGGTATAGGTTCGTTGTGGATGTGGCCGGCAGCAACCTTATTGAATAAAGAGAAAAAAGAAAAAAAAAACACAGAATCCTGACTTTTCTACAAAGAGTTATCTGCTGTTTTGTTTTATTGACAAATAATAACGAAGAAAAAGAGAGAGAGAGAGAGAGAGAGAGAGAGAGAGAGAGAGATGAAATAGTGTTTTGTTTTAATATAATTGGATGTTTGTGTTGTTTTTCAATTTACTTTGAATCAAGATGCTTTGGTGAATTGATTGAGGTGATGGGCTTATCTTGTTTGGTGTGGATGATGACTCTGAAATATACCAAACCTAGGTGCGAGAGAAATATACCAAACACATGGCTGGTCACTTTCAGATATTTTGTTTTAGCTAAGTCTCACAATTATTTTTATATCAATCACTCATGTCCTGAGCACATAAGCTCCTTCTAAAAGCAAAAAACTCAAGATGACATATATGTCTGAATGATAATGGAATGCTAAACACCATTATAATTAAGTGCTGACTCTAAAAATCACACAGCCTATGTGGCATGCATGTCGAATTAACTAAGGAGTTAACTACGTTCTTTGGTGATTGATTGCTGATGCGGGCATGTCAACTAGCTATCAAACTCGGTAAAATGCGCTTCTAACTCTTGAAGTGATCGATTTCGACCGAGGATGGAACACCGTCGATCTTGGGTTTTATAACTTGAAGATAAGGTTATGCAAATTACTATTGTGGGACCATGATTTTCTAGGGCCAAAGTAAGTGGATCAAAATGCAGTTACATCAAACGTCCGATTATGGACTCAACAGCTTCAAGCAAAGCTCGATTAACGGATCAGTGGTGCCACCATCATTCTGCTCAGAAGCAGTGAGCAAAATCCGAGCAACTTCGCTGAAAATAACCATGCTTGTCCCGCAAGACACGAGGATCTGATCCGGTATGAAATCAACCAGATCCCCTATATGTCTTGGAGTTCTTACAATCCAAGAATTCACATCCGCCACAAGTAATCACACTCCTAAAGAGGATGCAATATCTACTTTTAGATATCTTCTAGGATTCTCCCGCCTTAAAATAAGAATTTTATCCTAAAAAGTCTCTCTCCCGAATGCTATAAATACACTGTTCTAGAGTTTTTATCCTAAAAAGTCATTAGATTAATCGGTCCTCCACGTTTCAGAAGCTCAATGGGAAGAGAGAATCGCATCTCTCCTACATCCGAGAGAAGGTATTTTGCAGCAGCTGTAAATCCCAGATTTTTTGGCCTGCCACAATCAGATCATTTATTAGTTCGAAGCCACAATCAACATGCTTAGGGGTTAACTAAAGAGTTAACTACGTTCTTTGGTGGCATGCATCTCTCCTACATCCGAGAGAAGGTATTTATCCTTACAAATATTAACATTAAGACCATCACCAATTTGCCGTCTGGACTATCCTTCAATGATGGGTCTTGCTGTTAGGAATTGGCTCGTCAATGATGGTGTCCTATTTTGTTTAAGATTGTACAAGGCAAGCTAAATGTGCACAGATTCTTGTCATATAAGGATTAAGAAAAATAAGTTTTATTTACAAGTAGATTATGAATCTTAAAAGCAGAAACATAACAGAAGTGAAGTGTGCTTTCCTATCCCAAATAGATTAAGAGACTTAATCAGAAAATAAGAATGTAAACCGCATCCTATATATATAAATAGGGTGCTGCAAGGGGCAAAAACATGAGAGAACAGAGAAACAACCGAGTGAAAGAGAGGAAGTAGTTCTACCGAGTGGAAGAGAAGAAGTAGTTCTACGGTTTACTAAAACATTGTTTATTTATTATTAATTCAAAGAAGACGTAGGTGAAAATTTTGTTGAACTAATGTAAATCTCGTGTGTTTATAGTTATTCTCTATTTTACTACGTTTAGTCCATTGCCAAATATATTAGAAAGAACAAAGATCTAGGTGGGAAATTGTTAAGTATAGTCAATTTTTTATCCCCCACGCTCATGCTTAGGGTTGGTTTGGTATTGCTGTGCTTTGAAAAAAAGCTGCTTCTACTGTGCTTTGAGAATAAGTAGCAATGAAATAAAGTAGCAGAGTGTTTGGTAAACTTTTTTGTAATAGTGCTTTTGAAAAGAAAAAAAAAACAGTATTATAGTGTTTGGTAAACTTTTATGTAAAACAGATGTGAAAAAAAAAACGGTTTTTCAAAGCTGGGTTTTGCAACTTCTTGTTTTTGGCTTTTTTTCATCCAAAACTGTGGAAAAAAAACTGAAGCTGAATGTTTACCAAACACAAAAACAGCTCCCAACTTTTTTTATATCAGCTTTTTTCAGAATCACCTCAGTACCAAACAAGACCTTAGTGAGTCTGATCTTCCACTTTCTGCACCGCTCTTAATTTTGGCCCTTATTGAAAGATGTGCGAAAATTGTCTCTCTTTTTAATCCCTTCCTCAGCATGTTTGCTTATTTTTAAGGAGTAGAATAATCTTACGAACTTAGATTTTAGGTTTCAAGTCGAAAATTTTGGTCTTATAGAAATCGGAAGTGGTAAACTTAAACCCTAAGCGAGAAACCTGTTGTTATTTCATTCCCCAACCTCTTAAGGTTTCTAAGACTAGTAACTGATATAGTGTTACACTTTCCATGCTGTGCAATTACGTATAGGGAGGAAGACAAGCACAGGGAGCTTTGAGGGGAGCATGAAGGGACAGAGGAGGTGCTTGAATTCTGCAAAGAGAAAGGATTGACAACGATGATCGAAGTGGTTAACATGGATTATATCAACACAGCCTTCGAAGGGGCGGAGAGAACCAACATTAGGTACAGGTTCATCGTCGACGCAGCCAGTAGCAATCTTGACCAATAAAATGAGAATCACAAAATTCCATCTTATCGAAGAATATGCAGTACAATGTATATACAGAACAAAAACAATAAAGGAACAAACGGCTTAAATGGTAATTTCCAATGAAAAGCAATAACATACTCAATGTTAGCAGAGAGCTAAATCTTGAACAAATGTTGAAAATATTTACCGAGCCTGCCACAATTGGTTTCAACTCTCTCTAGTTGCTAATCCATCATACATGTAAAATACAACACTCGGCATGACGAAAGGAAAGATTACCAACCGAACACGTACACTGAATCGGAACGATTCAATTGACTCCAATGCATATGTTGGTACAACTGGTACAGTACCTGCAATAGATGTCGACTGAAATTTTTCAAAAATTTATGTAAATGCAAGGCATAGATTTGACATGCAGACAAATCGTAGCGTTCGATACATCTCTGGATCAATATTCATAACCTAAAATCTCTAAAAACACACTTGATGCCCTATCTTTGTTGGTTCCGATTTCCATTCACAGTGGTAAAATGCCTACAAAGGAAGCCACACAAGCTTTTTCCTATGTGACCTGCTGCTGATAATCATATCATATATAAGCAATCAAGAATCCGCCAATGACTTCTCGAGTTGTGGCCTCTGAATTAGTACCCCATGCTTAACATATGTGCTGTCTTAAATGTTTGCCTCAATTAAATCCATACTCGTTGACTAAAGTACATGTTCATAAAATATCTTGAAGGATTGAAGCCACTCAAAATCACTGCAGACAAGGGGAAACAAAGAATTTCAACATAATGTGTACTGGAAAGCAAAGTAAAATCAAAGGAAAACGTTCATGCAACACTTACAGATCGGAGAGAGGACAATGACAACACTGATTGGATATAGGAAGAAAGTGGTCCTCTCCAGAAAGGGCAGTACTGTGAAAAATAGGACATGTAATCAGTATGACGCATGAACGCATACTAGCACTGATATTTTCTCAAAATAAATCACCCATCACTTCGCTCTACCACAAGTCCCTAACATATTATTATATCATTGACAAGTTTGTTTCATAGAATTCTTATCGTAGATGGAAATAAAAAACCAACTGAACAACTCAACATAGTTGTATTCCACTCTAAAGTCATTGCGTTACATTACAAGCTGATGAGCCAACTTAATTGCAATAGAACTCCAAAAAACAGAAAAGCAGAACTTGAAGAGAATTCAACATTACTGACTATAGAGGAGAATGCTAGAATTGACATGTAGGGATCTGTAATGCTGGCCACCTCTCTCCACTGCATAAGCGGTGAAAGGACTATGCATAAATGATGAGGTGAACCGTTTAGCTGATTACCAGTCCTTGTTTGACAAATCAATTGCACATTTTCGCTCATTAAAATAGCTGATTGAATTCATAAACCTTGGCCTTTAACCAACATTACTTTGTATCCACATCCAAAACCGCAACTATATAATATATAACATGGTTGTGGTGACTCCTAAAAGATGCTATCCACCATAAACAGCATGGGTATGAACTATGAACCCATCACACCATCTGAACCTAAACATTTGAATGAAAACTCTTGAGCTCATAACAAAATCTTTAGCTTACCATCATAACCTAAGAAGTTGAGATAATGATAGTATGAAGTGGCCACCATGAATATCAAATTTGATAGCAATACTGGAATGAAGCCATGAGCTACCAAAATTGGTGATAGAAAATAATGGATCACTGCAGAACCAAGAGATCAGAAGCATTATTTCACACATTTGAGATTAACAATACGATAAGGAAAACAATGTTTTGTATTAATTACCATAAAGCAGAACAAACATCGGGAAGAAAGAGTTGCAGTGCACATCAAATGCGTACAGCCTTCAAATGACCAAAATCACAACAAAATCATTGCTCAGTAGGTAATCAAGCAGGAAAAAAAATAAACGTTTGACTGATTCGACATTCAATCAATCTAAAATTATATTCACACATATAACATCACATGAACGTACACGTTGATGATATAGGATGGGGAAAAAGGCTAAGTTTAATTGTTCAGTAAGAATCATATTACTAATAAAGTGGAAATAAAGGATAATGGACTCACCATTCAACACGCTGCTCAACAACATGGCTATTCGGAGCCTCTTCACGAAGGTAAGAATTAGTTAAAAACCTGCATGAGCATTGAGAAGTGTGCCATTAGACGATGATCAATACTTCACACTAAGGTTTCAGTTATGAATGAAGATTGAGAACTCTATAAATAGGGAGACTAAAAGCTGTAACAGTTATGGAAGAGACTCGGAACTAAAATTATTTAGACTAACGAATTCTCAAATATGTGTTTCCTTCATAGACTTTTGAGAAATTAACATGTTGTCACCAGCAACTAGCTATTTATAAAAAACCCATATTCGCATGCACACGAAAACATATGAGATCAGCAAACATTTCACTCTCTATGTTCATGCAACTAACATGTTCTTTTTCTTTAGATAGACTGTTTCGTAGTCGCTTTTTCTTTATATAGAAGCCTTTTACTGGATGTTGAAATGACTCAGCAAACTCAAGCTGGCTTGGCATCACTAGATGATATCAAATAAACATGTTTCCCTACTTCTATGGAAAATAGCTTCCTTTATCTAAGAAACTGAGTAAGAAAACACAGAAAATTTGGTTCCACAGAATTTATTTGTTCCTTAAAATTTTTCATGAAATATTTGAGCCTGAATAAGATGCAAGAAGTCACTGACATATTTCAGAATAAGATAATAAAAGTTCACATTATTATTAGAAAGCACCAGTTCTTACCAACAAAATGTAGCCAGAAGCATCCCGAGGAACAAAAAATGAAAAAGCAAAACAGAAATAACTACAAAAACAGCATGTGCAGCACTATGGTCGTACCTGAAATAAGCACAATTATGAAGTCAAAAAAAAGGATTCCTCACAGAACTCTTGCCAGAGTCTAAAGATATACAGATAAATAAAGAATATAACAGCTCAATTAGGCTAGAACTTTTGAGGCAAAGCAACATAAAATTCAGTGAAACTACAAAATCCAAAATGCAACCGTTTTACTTGTAGAGTGTATGATTAAGTGAACAGTAAACTTACGCCGCACAATATGCCAGAGTTGCAACAGCAAGTAGAAGGCTGCAGATTACAACAAAAGCAGGGTCGTCACGTGCCCATTGATTCTTAGTTTCTGAGACCAAAAGGAAAGTAAATAAATTTTCAATTGCATCAGATGTAGCAGAAATATTTGACAATCTTGACATGTAATCACTCCACATGCACGCAAGTAAATCATAGAATTTAGAGATGCTAACTTTGTAAAGTAATTTTGAAATGAAAAGGAAAGGGAAAGAAACTTAATGAACATCTGCTTCTTATACTTTATGGAACGAGGACTTACGCTTGTGATACTTAGTGTGCTGATAGCTGCATTAGTCGTACAGTTACACATGCAAGATACAAAACCCATTATTAAGGAAATCAGGAGCAACAAAAAAAAAACAGTAATGACAATGCTGATGATCTTGAAAGGTGAATACTTACACAACTTTCGGTGAGCTGCATAGGTGAAGCATTTGCCAAAATGTATATTCAATATCCATTTGTTGCCACTAAAAGGTTAAAAACCAACAAAATCAAAAGAAAAATCATTGATAAAAGCATGCCCACGAAATCAAAATAATAAAAGTAGCATACTAACTTGCTGCTGATGAAAATGTTCTAACTTCCAGAACCAAAGTTAAAAGAGACTTCAAAGGTTTAGGTAAAAGACAACAAAACAGAAATGGATGTGCTGAAAAAGAATCCAGATTTAAGACCTATACCCAACATTTGGTTATGGAATAGATGGGACTAAAATTGAAAATTACGTGATTATATATCCTATCAATGTTCGATTTGTATAACATCCAAGAATATTTCTTGTTGCTGAAATTGATATTTAGCTTGTGAATTGCGCAGTACACAACCCTTTATTTAGCAAATCAGGATGTCCTCATAACATGCAGACTAATATAAATGTAGCATGGTCTCAATTAATATGTAAGCCACTGCAAAACAGGGATTCCAAGTAAGACTAAAAATTGACATCAAGCAGTGTGGGTCACATCAAAGTGCAAGGCTAAAAGCATGATTGACTTAGGGGGATAGACACGAGAGCCCATAATATCTTCAACCCCTTCCCCTTAACAAAATATAAAATCATTTCTCTAGTCTATCAACCCCTTTTATCTAAAGATACTAAGTTGCCAACTCCTGATTCAAATCAGTACAGAAGCTCCTAGATCTCTATATTATTGTTCTGGACCCATCATGGTGTCAGATTCCTTTCTCATACTTTCTTCTCCACTCTAAATCCATGTCGCGATATCAATGTAAACTATATATTGTTGCTCTGAACCCACAATGGTGGAACACTTAACTGCTGGGTTCTGAATTCCAGAACCCATCTAGATTTTCTGTCATCTGTTGAGCTTCCTTCTCAACTCTAAATCCATTTCATGTATAAGTTTTCTCTTTTAACGTCACTAGTTTTGTACAGTATAGCTACGGATGATTTTCGGGGGTACAACCCAAGATACGCCAACTTAAATCCACCAGCGTAGGAACAATAGAAACCCCAACAAAGCCACACATTAGCCTAAGACACTGAATCAAAAATCTTAACATTGCAAGAACTTTCAAACTTGCCCACCAGGCTAACAAGTCCAAATCTTAAGCTCTTAGCTCCCTTCTTTTTTTTAATCAAAATAAGCATCCAAACTATTCAACTAAACGATACATAATTCTCAAACATCACACCGACTTCACTCCAATATCTCTTAAAAAACACCATGGTCATACTATTTGAACCTAGGGCTACTTCTCTACGTAAAAAAAGTAGCTCAAATGCACCACATTTCCCTATAATACCTTCCCCATGTAAAAATGTGATGTTCTCCAACTTCCACTGAGTCAAAGAATTCCCAAGGTCTTCGAAGAACGAGGTCCACAAACCTTACCAGCCCCTCAAAAAATTGATTAAAAGACACAAATGAGGATTAAATCCATATAAGCACCTGCCTAACTAACTCTAAGCAACCAACCCCGAACCCACTTGAAAACCAAAAAAGAACCGAAATTTCGGTTACACATCCAAATTCCAGAGCAATCAAAAGCACTAAATCTGCCAGAATTCAGAGTTTTTACAAAATTAATCGTCGAATTAGATCCAATCCACAAATTATAAAATGCTTAATCATACAAAATGCAACAAATTAGTACGCAGATCAGATCGAAAAGGCACAAAGCCAGATAATTACAGAAGAAGAAGAAAGCACCTTGATTATTCGCCGAAGGTACTGAATGAACATGGGGTTCGTCCGAGATGCAGAGGACGACGACCGCCCTCTCGACGTTGTGGGCAACATCTCTCTCTCCTCTCTCTCTCTCTCTCTCTCGAATTCTCTGTGCTTCTTCGCCTAAACCCTCTATGCACCTCCTCTTGGCTGATCTACAAGATCTCTAGAATTTCCACCAGCTCTCTCCGTCTCTCCCTTCCTCTTGAACGAGTTGAGAATTTTCAGATGGCAGGAAGTAAAACGTAGAAATGACGACTACTTGGTTCCCTCTATGCTTACGGCCCAAGTTTCGATCAATTGTGTAATTGGGCCAGACCTGCTTTTCAAATATGAGTTGGGCTTCGGCCAAGGGAGCTTGTTAGAAATGACGACTACTTGGTTCCCTCTATCCAATCCACAAACTAAGGTGGCAAGACCCGCTTTCTTAACGGGTCATATGTAGATCAGCTCCATTAGGGGTGGGCACGGGTTGGGCACGGGCTGGGCCGGGCCCAATTTTGAAAGGACCGGACCGAACCTAGGTTTAAAGAAAACAGGTTGGGGCAGGGCGGGGATTACATTTTCTAATATAGGAACCGGACCTTAACCGGCCCGGTTGAAACAAGGTGGTTTGGGCCGGGTCCACGGGTCCCTTTTTTTTTTTTTTGAAAAAAATAATGATAAAATTTGCACAGATTGCAAACTGCACAGAGTCACAAACTGCATTTATGCAAATTTTGCACAAATTCACCATTATTCACATCCAATCTAAAATTCTAAATACAAAGTCCAACATTGAAGTTCACAAATTAACAATACATCCAAAATAACAATATTACATCGTCCAACATCTAAAAATCAATCAACATACAAAATATCCGAAAGTCCAAGACATCCGCAATAAATTCCAAATTCACATCCAAAACCACATCCAACGTCCAAGTTCCAACAACAATCCTTATTGAATCCGTAAGCAAAAATAGAATATAAACATGACATTTTTAACGTCCAACATCATCTTATCCTCATTGAATCATTGAAATTTAAAGTTTATTCATTTGAGTTTAAAATATTACCGCAATTCCTTTTCCTTTATTTGTTCGAGTTGTTTGAGGAGCTTCAATTTCAGAAACACTTGGTGAGATGGTTGAACTTGTAGATATAGTATTTGCTCTTCTTCTTTTATATTCTACAACAAAGAACAAACGTTAATTGTAAACCAATTAATATAAAGTTATAAATCAAACTATACAAAACAAAATAATTACCTTCTTCACACTCTTAATAAAATTCAAGCTCCGCCAGGACTTGCTTCATACTTAATGTTGCTAATTGCAGCTTAACCAATTTTGGAGGCATATCAATGACTCCACTGTCTGAGGAAGGAGAGACGATCTAAAAGGGTCAATTACTCTTTTTCTTCCTCTAAATGCACTCTCACTGGCAACTGTTGACACTTGAATTGGTAAAACATCTTTCGCTATCAAAGCAAGCGTGGGATATGTGCTCTTCCTTTCAACTTCCACCATTTCAAAACGTCAAATTGTGAACCATGTGGTACTTTCTCTACAGTGTCAAGGAGATACCTATCCACCTCATGTGCAAGCTGCAATATCCTCGGTGTCTTCTAGTTCATTCTCCCAATCATTCATGATTTGACTAAATATCATTGGATTTTCTATTGGCACACTAGAAAATGATTGTTTTACCCTTGAACAAGTAGTGTCAACAACTAAATCTTCTCTATCCTTTTGTTGTGTTTGTGAACTGAAAGCTTGGTAAGCATATTCATCACACATCGCCATTCAACAATGTCTTCACTTCATTACTTTTTTGTTGAATCTCTTCTTTAGGAAGCTGTAATTGCTTTCTACACAAGTGCATGTAGTGCCTCAATTTGAACCTTGGGTCTAAGACAAGGGCAACTACAAATATTTGATTAAGGGACTCAATTGAACCAAAATACTTTCGATATTTGGCTCGCATGCTAAATGCCATATCACGTAGCACCAACTCTACACTTCCTCCAATTTGCATATATTTAGGCAAAAAAAGCTTTTCAATCTCGTTTTCCACAGCAATGACATCATGAACAGCTGTATTAGATGTGGGATACTTACTTGCACTAACTTTCAAAGTTATAAGATAGAAGACCTTCAAAAATTCTACAAACACTTCTACACCATCCCAATCTTCCTCCTTAGATGGTCCAACCCTCCCTTTACTCACCACTTCTTCTCCTTCATCATTAAGCACCTTTTCCTTGAAATAGGTGGAGTATATATTAGCTTCATCATCTTCGGACATCCTTTCAAATGTTTTTTTTTAACTTCAAGCAAGATTCTAGCATTATGTATGTGTTATTCCACCTATTAGGCACATCCATAACAACTAGACCCCTACTATCCAACTTCTCATTCTCCACACATTTCTTGAAATAACTAAACCTTCGAGAACTTGATCTCACAAACCGCACGGCATTTCTAAGAACATCCACACTTGTATCTAATCTTTTCAATACATCTTTTACTACCAAGTTGATAATATGAGCTAAGCACCTCATATGCATAAACTTGTCATTCATAATAATTTTACTATTAGGCCATTTATGCATTATACGAACAACATACTCAATTGCCACCTTATTAGCCGATGCATTGTCAACTGAGATACACATTACCTTTTTAATCTCCCACTCAACCAAACATTGCTCAATCATCTTCCCTATTTCTTTGCCTTCATGACTTGAAATCAAACAAAAGTTTAGAATCCTTTTGTGCATATTCCATTCATCATCCACAAAATGAGCAGTTAGCACCATGTAGTTCAAATTTTGCACACTTGTCCATGTATCAGTAGTCAAGCTCACTCTATGATTGTGTATCTCTCTTTTTAACTGATCTTTCATGGTATCATAAATATTGAATAACTCCCTCACGATAGTTCTTCGAGATGAAACATGCAATCTAGGCTGGACTTTGCACATCATCCGCCTAAACCCTTCACTCTCCACAACACTAAAAGGTACCTCATCGATCACAATATACTCAATAATACCTTCCACACTTTCTTCTTGGCTCCACCCTTTAGCAACAAGCATGTTTTTGACATCCCCAGAAGGTCCAGAACTGCCTAGAACCTTTTGCAACTCATCAATTGGTTTATATGACTTGCAATGTTTATTGATATGTTTAATGTAAGTACTAGTTCCACCCCCACTAGTATCACATGCAAAAAGGGCGTTACAATGGTTACACTTAGCCTTCAATACTTATACCTCCGCCATCTCTTTCTTTCCATCCTTTTCTACTTCTTGTATTTCCGAGACGGTACACTTAGTGACATGATCCCAAACCCAAGATCTCTCTAGTGAAGCTATTATAGTTGGTTGTTTTGTCTTTGGAATAAGTGGGGCTTTTCTTTTTCTGGAGGAGGAGGGGTTTAAGGGAGGCATTGATGATTTTGACTGTGTGGGTTGTGCTTGTGTTGGTTGTGGAAGACATGGTGATGTAGCCGCAGATGATGCTACATTAGTACTAGGGGTACTTTGACTTTGAGATTGAGACATTATGTAAAAATTTGTAAAAATTAAATAATGGAAGTATATTCATTAATCAAATAAAGATATTTCGAAATATGCACACCAATTTCATGAAATTACCACACAATATAAATAATCTCAAGAATCCATTAAAACTTCAGAGTTCAGATCATGAATAAAACCAACTACTAAATCCATCCCCATCAAGAGAAAGAAACCAAATGAAAACAAGAGAAGGACGTGCTAAATGAAAACAAAGAGAAACCAAATGAAAGACATGCTAAATAAATCCATCCCCATTAATACTCGATATGAAACCAAATGAAAATAGGAGAAAGAAACTATATGCTAAAAAGTGGAAGAGTGCAATTTCGAATCATGCTAAATTTGTCTTACATTAGCAATATTTTAAAGGAAAACTAGTTTAAAGAAAAACATGCAGATCTATTAACTATTAAGTAATTACATCTGTGATCTGTTGGGTTCCAAAGAAGAAGACTAGTACTTTCTTCTAATCAACAGAGTAGCCCCACTTTTCTAGTTCACTTACCTGCAGAATGATTAGGAATAATTAGGAATAAGGAGAGAAGCAAACTATAAGTTTACACACATTCCCGTATGCTACAGAAACCATGCTAAATTTGTCTGAGAAGACAGAAACCAAATCAGAGGCTGTTATGCATCTAAAAGAACATATGAGCACTCACCTTATGCAAAACAACATCAAAAGGTCCTTGATCTGAAAATGGCTTGTTTACATCAATTGCAATGAAGAAGATTTCCTTATTCCTACAATGAAGAAGATCCCCTTACTTCAATTATGAGTGAAAACTCAAACTCTTTAAGACAAATTTATCACGTAACTGAAGGACATAGGTAATATATTTGCAATCCTATAGACAAGGTTTGAAAATGTACAAATATCAAGTCAAGCTTGTGGCTGCGACTCGTCAAGAGTCTGACTCCCGAGCACAAGTAACAATCCGCAGTAGCAAACCTGTCAATGTGCAGTTCATCTGCTACACATTAAGTTAATTAATCTGTGCGGGGGTGTGTGAGTTTCACCCTTCAAATTCATACAGTATGAGAAAACTAGCTAAGGTTGTGTCAATGTTCAAGCTAACAGGATAGCTGCTCATTCTGATCTGTGCGTGGGTGTGTGGTGCATATGGAAGTTACTGAGTGAATAGATAAGGGCATAAGAGAGAAACAAAAGATCAGGTTTTTTTGGGCCTGCAGCAAACCTCTTCCTTCTGATCGGACAATTTTGATGCGTTTTGGCAGCAGTATTTGTGCCAGTTGGAGGGGTTCTCATGGATTGTAATGCACATTGGATTAGTAATACTAATTGTACACACTAAAAAACTTAATGTGGTTAAGGTTAAAAAATCATAAACAGAATAATTTCCACAACGATTTTCTTTTTATGGATTGTAATGCACATTGGATTAGTAATACTAATTGTACACACTCAAAAACTTAACGTGGTTAAGGTTAAAAAATCATAAATAGAATAATTTCCACAACCATTTTCTTTTTATGCACATTCCTGTTTATTTCTGCCCCTTAATTCTACTTTAATTTATTCAATTCAAATATCATAATTATCCACGCCGTATGTGAGCACAAATTGACGTACAAAAATCACTTGTAAGAAACTATATTGGTGATGATATTTCTAGTTCCAAACTCAAGCCTTCCCACCTTCCCAAC